TAAAACTGATGATGGTGGAAAACACCGAAACGTTTTTTTAAATTGATAAATGAACAATAAATGACTGAAGAACCCAGGATTTGATTTTAATTTTGGAAGTACTTTTAAACATACTTTTCCTTAAAAAAATTATATTTTCTTGAGATAGTGATGTACTCAATACATTCAGTGATAGTGATTCAACGCCCTCGTAAATGGTAAATAAACTGGCCTACATGGGATGACGTCACTCGTAAGCGCTAGGGCCTGGTTCTTATGACGGTGTTGATAGAGCACGATCGTGTAGGCCAGCTGAAAGACATTAATAATCTGAGGGCCAGGTTGAATAATAATTTTGCGGTAGGATAATTCGTTAGTTTAATCTACCGGTCGACTTTACGTGCACTTGTTTATTATTTTTTAAATCGATACTAACAAGTATCGGTTTAATCGATATTGACTTTGTGGAAATAACAAATTATTTGATTAGATTACATAATTATTTTGTGCAGCAATTCATTGCTTATGCACCACCCGCCGCTGAGTAACAAAAAGCTAATTTAATGAGAAGACTTGTGGTTGATTTCTTCTAGAACAAATAATCACAATAATGAAAATACTCAAATTGTGCTTCTGTAAAATTATTTATAACTTTGGAAAAAGCATAAATTCACGGGTCATTTGCTCCTAACAATTTTAGATAAAGCATTGCAGAAAACTACTTTTTCCAAAGACCGCAAATACTTCCAGACAAAATATTTAAAAAAAAATGTAGCCAAGTTTTCATTGACTTTGCTTTTTAATTGCGGCACGACGACCATGTTTTGCTATACGCACTGTATAAATATGTTGACCTAGTTTTTAATTCTCGTTTTTTGTGCTTGCTACTTATTTACTGTCCAGTAGTAAAAAATAATTAAATTTATTCAATAGGACGAAATCAATCAAAGCATACTTAATTAAAAATTCGTGTAGATATTAACGGTGATAAGCTTTAAACAAATTAATTAAAAAGAAAGCAATGACAGCAAAAGAAGCCAATAAAAAAACTGTAAATGGCCTTAAAAACCCATCGCGTGAATAACTATAGAAGATACTTACAGGACACCCTTGAGATTTGTAATTAAACCATAAAAAATAAAAAGCATCTAGTTAATTTATACAGTTTTAATTATTTGACCTAAAAAAGTGCAAGCAGCTCGAGTTAATAAATGTTTAGTAGGCTTGAAAAGAAATAGAAATTGAAACAATATCTTGTTTTAGATCGGCACGGAATCAAACTGAATGTCTCATCAGCAAGGCAAAATAGATTGTCCTGTTGTCTATATATTGTTTAACTTTGAGTGGTTGGAATAACGTTTGAATTTAAATAATGTAGTGATGTGGCGATTATAATTTATCAAAGCTCTTTACATTTACTGCAAAAAAGTGTGCCGGTCCTTCCGACACCTCCAACAAACATTTGTCTATACAAATCTAAATACAAAAATTCCAATTCGTTGCTTACAAAACGTTTTCAAGTACGTCTATGCTTATCAAGCATTTTAAGTTCATTAGTCTGATGTGTTTCTTGCATACAACCAAGAAATTGATTCAACTGTAATTAGTTACTAATTAATAGGCGAACTTACGATCATCTTTAGGTACTGGTATGGGCCTTTGTTCCTGAAAAACAAATAATTATTTGCAATTGATTTATTCACAAAAAACACATATTTAATGGCGTCAGCTCTCATGAAATAGTTAATTCCCGATAATATAGAATATTCAGTATATATATATATAGGCAAAGATATCGAATAAACTAAACTGCTTAACCAAATAAACTTTACACGACCAAATGTGTTCTAACTTTGAAGCTGGATAATTTTGTTATCACATCAGGGGGCGTTTTTACAAAAATTACATACTTCAGGTAAAGTTTATACATTGTGGAAAAGAAAGCAGTGCAAATTTTCTGAAACTTTTGGTATTCTTCTAGTTGAACCAGAAATCGTTTTTTTTATTCCAACACCAAAGGCATAAAGACAGATTTCAAAGCTCAAAAGGGTTTTTCAATTGTTCGCCAATCTCTTTTACTTACAGGGTGTTCCCAAAAAATCAACTTTATAGTTTTGGGGTGATAACAGTTTTTCTCTTGGACCGATTTTCAAAATATAGAGCTCATATTGAAGCGAAACCATTGCATTTTGGTCTTAAGTCAATTGTGAAATTTTATCTTCAACATGCGCATTAGATTTTGAAAATTGCAAGACCAAATAGTTGATTTTTTTTGAGACACACTGTAAACGAAAAAAATTCCTAAAATTGGCTAAAAATTCCAAAACCATAAGTCTTTGGTGACGAAAGGTGAAAAAATCTAGTTTTAGATGAAAAAATTTGCTATCCTGTAGAAACTTTATCTGAAGAACTCAATTTTTGCAAATACCCGCACTGATAGAAAAAGAATTGATCTAACCAGCCCTTTAATCAGAAATCAAATGGTACGCATCAATCAGAAGTTTTCCAGTTTCAGAGTTATGGAAATCTGGTCGTGAAACGTTCATTTTGTTGGGTGGTTTATATGATTGAAACAAGAAAACTTTCGAAGAACGAAGTTGCATTTTTTCATCTGAACCTTCTAAAAATGTATTTAAATTTTTCGTTTTCCGGCTTTAAAATGTATTTGCAGAGATGAATGAAAAATACCGGCACGGAGTGAAAAACTAGATCTAAAAAGAACATAAAATGTAGTAATTCTAGCAAGTAATCTGCATTAGCTTGCACAGAAACTGAAAATCGCAAAAGTATAAATCGTTTAACAAAATATTTGTATGGAAATTAGTGAACTAAAGGTGAGGAAATCAAATTATGATGTTGACTTTGCGTTCGATTCATTTGAATCGAACAAAGTAGTGAATTACGACTACAATTTACACAGGGAACATTTAATAATGTTGCGATGAATTTCAAATAATTAATTCAATGTGGATTAACTAGAAAATATCATAATGCGATGATTGTTTTGTTGAGTGTTTATGTTAGAGAAGCTCTTGATTTTCGATGGTGAGCTGCCAAAAACATGATTAACAACAATAGGTAGATTAATAGATAACATGAAACTATTACACATAGTGAAGGTAAAAWTAAGTTGAGAAAACAGAATGGAAATTGCGCAGTGTAGTGTAAGCTAACGATTTATAAAAAAAACGTTAATAACGACTTACTATTGGCTAAATGCACAAAAAACTGAAGCGTAAAATTAAATGTTTTCAACTTCATTAAAATATTTCCAAGGTTAATGAACTGTGTTTTGTTTTTGAAAATTGCAAAATTAACTTTTGAGGATGCTTTTAGATTAACACACAAACGAAGAAATTGCTAATTTATGGAGATTTTTATTATTAATTTATTACCTTAATCCAGCATTTTAGACCGTAAAAGTATATAATAATTTTTGCTTATAAAAGTTACTTATGTTGAGTGCTATTTTTTTTAAATAAATTCTGAAGTTTTCGTGTTTGTTAGTTTCTGATCTATTATTTTTATAATTAGTTTATTGCGGTCATCTCAAGACATAACTTTAGAAAATAATAGTAATAAATTTACAATATACTGAAGGGTTCTTTAGAAAATTAGGTACGTTGATTGAATTTCCTAGTAATATGAAAATGTCTAAACATTAATAATGCCTTAACTATGACGGTTATAACAACGATTTTATTTGACAATGGGAAAAAATAATTAAAATGATGGATTTTGCACAATTTTTTCATAAAAAAATAGTCAATATCAACTAAACAACCTTTTATGTGCAATTTTATAACCGTTTTCAAGCCACACTTCGTCTAAAGCCTTTCAAAAGAATAATTGCTTGTGTTTATGGAACATTTCTGTAGCTGAAGCATCAAGTAATTAAACTTGCAAAATAAAAAATGAACGCTTATTAAACTGGTTTAATATGCTAATATAATGTTTATTAAAATATTTGCTTGTAGCGCTGCTAATCCATGTTAATATAAACCTATGCTATGCCATTCTAACCCTTTTTGGGTTTAATATTTTGTTAATCTAGTTAACGTTTAAGTTTTTGAATTTTGAGTGAAAATGTGAGTAATTAGATTGGAAAATTAATTCATTATTTAAATTGGAAGTTGATATGAAAAAATCGTGTTTTTCTCAGTGAAATGATTCCCAGCAAGAAAACTATCCCGAATTAATTCTACTTGGTACTTACCAGTCTGATATCATTAATGCCGTATAAAACAGCTGTTAAATTATCGTTTGATGCCATGGATGCGCCTTCACAAAAACCAAAGTGGTACTGCGACGTGTTTATTATTTGTAAAACAGTGACAGATCGCTGGTACTACTTTAAGTTCCACGGGAATAACTCTGGGATATTTATATTCGAACAGCGTTGTTAAAGTCAACTGTATGGGGGAATTGTTTATCGGATCAATTTGTCGGATTTGTTGAGTTCGTTTTATGGATAGATATGTTTTCAGTGTCGCGTGAAGATAAGAGAAGAAAAATAAATAGGTTTTGCAACATTTTGAATTAATCTATAGACATCACCAAGAAACCGATATTGTTCTCTGATAGACAATAATCAATAAAGCAAGAGGCATAGTACCCCCTTATTGTATACATCCAACTATTATTTGATACCGAATTTGCACCCGACGAATGCACGATTTTTTAAATATTTTTTTGGAACGTTTAAATAACGTTTCAGTTACTTTTTTTCAATGAAACTTTTCTGAGTTCGAAATTTTCAGTTACATAAACATTTGCGATACATCACAACATACAGTGTAGATAACTGAAACGTTTCGGGATGTAAATACATATACGTTTCTGAAACAAAAAATTGTTTCGCATGTATTCTTGTCAATAAATATAAATATTTTAGATTGTTTACTGTGTCGGTTAACTGGTAAATGTTCATTGCATTATTGTCCAGTTTCTTTCTTTTTCCTAGGGAACCTGCATATGCCCATGCATCACATTGCGAGTCCATGATTCTACAAGGCCGTACAGATACAAACGAAAATACAAGCTAGTTGAGTCATATGAAAAGAAACTTTCAGTTTGAATTATTGGGAATTTTGCTTTCGGATAACGTACTAAAGGTAACGAAAAGTCTAAACCAATTTGAAGTTTAGGCCTTTGAACAAGGCAAAGGAATATTTTGCATTTTTTTATAATTGTGCCATGTGATTTGTTTGTGTGTGTATGATGTGGTGAACGTTTGTATCCGCTTCTTCTTCAACCCGAAAAACTGAAAAATACTTCGTATTGTTGTGGCGAGAGCTTTCAAAACTCAAATAAAAATTTTAAACTAGTTCAACTTTTTTATTTTAATTGCTAAAAAACTTCACACGTTTGCATTGAAAAGATCTTACAGTTTTTGTCAGGAGCGACTTTTTGATCAAATTCTCTTCCTCTGAAAGAATGTCGCTAAAATGTTTTTATTGTTTATAATTAGAAAAATAATAAATATGTTAAAAACATTTTTAAATTTAAAGACTAATAAACCACATGTATTATAATCCGAAACCACGACGTATACTTTTGCCACATTTGAACTTTATTGGGAATTTTGCTTTCGGATAACGTACTAAAGGTGACGAAAATTCTAAACCAATTTCAAGTTTAGGCCTTTGAACAAGGCAAAGGAATATTTTGCATTTCTTTATAATTGTGCCATGTGATTTGTTTGTGTGTGTATTGTATGATGTGGTGAACGTTTGTATCCGCTTCTTCTTCAACCCGAAAAAGTGAAAAATACTTCGTATTGTTGTGGCGAGAACTTTCAAAACTAAAATAAAAATTGTAAACTATTTCAACTTTTTAATTTAAATTGCTGAAAAACTTCACACATTGCATTGAAAAGCTCCTGCAGTTTTTGTCAGGAGCGACTTTTTGATCAAATTCTCTTCCTCTGAAAGAATGGCGCTAAAATGTTTCTATTGTTTATAATTATAAAAATAGTAAATATGTTGAAAATATTTTGAAATTTACAGACTAATAAACCACAGGTATTATAATCACATTTGAACTTTCAACATATACGAGTTTAAGAAAGTAGATCGTGCTCAAAGTTGCCTTTATCTTAGACAGAAATAGAAGAACAATAGAAACGCTGAAGGTCAAGTCTATACAATATGCGGCAAAATTAGGTAAACTGAATTGATTAAGTCAGTTTATTATCACCCATCGATGTACTCGTTAACTTCGTGCGAAATTCCAAGTGTGGACAATAGTAATCCGATAATATTATTGATCAACATATACAGCTGTAAATGTATTATATAAAACGTACAAAAAATTTTATCTGCGAAATAAAATAGTGAATAACAGCAAATTGAACGAGCAATCAAACGGTTCAATTTTAATTGAGTACAGTTCCGATGCTTTAGATCAACTTTATTTCCAGAAGAATATATTTTATAACAATAATACAAATCCATAAAAAATATTTGTATTATCACATTTAGAAATGTTTTCCGGGCTTTGAAGGCGTAGTCCATGGGAATTTCTTCCTATTAAAAAATTCCTTTCTGTTTTTTGTATTTGTACTGTATCTGTAATTCGTATTATCGTTGAATGTAATATCAATAATACTGATTTTTAATTGTGAAAATTTCAAGATACTCAAAGTCGAGATGGTAGGTAGATACTATCTTGAGTGCAGCTATGGAAATTAGACGAATTTACGAAGGCAAAAGAGTACCTAATTCTCCGTTCAACTTGTCTCGTTTTTGTTGATTTATAGTTATCAGTGTCCATAATTAAATACTAGTTATAAAAAAACTTGATAGTTTTAAAAACACATTTCTCAAAGCACATAAAATATGGATCCTCTCAAACATTTACAGATACCTACAGTAAACAGTTCATTCTTAATTTGTCTATAAAATAATGAAACTGTTTCGAATTCCTATAAAGAATTTGGTTATTTTCAATTTGCTTGTTGTATGTGTAAAATGAAAAACTAGAGAAAAACATGTTTTTTTATAGGATGACCGGTTAACAGATAAAACGTTGACGTTTCTTGATATACTAATACAGCTTTGCACACCAACCGCTCACAATTCGGAATGTTTTCATTGATATAATATATCTATATATTATATCATGTTTATAGAAGATTTGCAAAATTACGTAAATTGATTGTCACTTGCTGATAACAAAGCATTATAAAAGCAAATTAATGTGGGGGACACAACTAAAAACGTGTCGCAATTTAAAATTCATTGAAAAGTATCTTTTCGTAATTGGGTTCAGTTTCATTGTAACGCTTTTGAGTGTGATAAATTGATTTAAACAAAACTTCTCATTTGCAAGCTTAGTTCAAGCATAAGCAGACCCTATTTTCTTTGAGTATCTACCATTATTAAACCAAAAGGTAATGACTGATATTTTAAAAATTTAGGACGCAAAGTCGAAAGTTTTCATTTTCGTCATCGAAGTTCGAATTTTTTTACAGTAAAGTATTTAATTTATATTTTTATAATAAGAAGAATAAGAATTGGCTTTAATATATTTGATAAATATATTAAAGCATTAACTTAGTGCAGAAAAATTAAATTTTCTCATCTTCGTTCAGCAGGCACATTACCCTATACATCCTTTGACAGATTACGAGATATAACGACCGAATGTGTAAATGGAATTATACATTAATTATCAATTTAACTAATGAAGTGTAGAAAATTTTTGATCACTACAGTCTTATCATTTTAATTTAAACTTATTTTTTTCAAGACGTCATCACATTAAAATTCAGTACATAAACAGAGATAAGTCTGATAAAGTGCAGGTCACGAGATCTCAATTTGCAGTTCACAGATATTCGAACAGACATTTTTTTAAATTGCCTTAAATTGTTGCTAAAGAAAGTATCTACACATTGCTGAAATGAACATAAAAGAACAACAAATTAATTAAAAAATATATAATCATATTTAATAGTAAAAAATATCATGTTTAATACGAACCATCAAGCACATGGCAAATGTCCCAATGGGAATTTCAGATTTGATTCATTTAATGAATTCATTTTTTATAATATGAATTAAATAGCAGTACATACATACATTCGTTAATCTTGAATGTGTATGAGTATGGCCTTAACAGCTTAACAACCTTAATATCAATTAATGAGCGGTTATTTAAGTCGACCCTTCCGTGAATCAACACATTCAGTTTTTTTCAATTAATGGTCTCAACGCATGTGGTCGTACGAGTAGTAGACGATAATGCATCAACTACAAATAGCAATTCAGGGTCAAAGTGCTTAAGCGATGAAACAACCAAAATCAAACAAACTAACAAAGACGTAATTTGAGCCAGTTAAAGACAGAACACGTGTTGCGTACTAATCTGGACATTGCAATATAATTAATATATGTATGGTGATATGAAAGACTAGTTTTGCATGCCTAACAAATCCATTACCACGAATTGCGCAGATAGGCCCGTGTATTCATGTAATAAGCTGATATTTACATGTAAAACCAACGATGAAAACAAGTTTTTTGCGATCTAAATGAGAGTTGAAGTAGATCTACTAATCTCTGGTCATACAGTGTAATAACGATTAATAACGTTATTGCATTGTGGCAATTGCAAAAGGCTCATTGCGTTATCTTAAGTAATCTTTTCGCTCTCAAATTGCACTGTGATTTATTCATTCATAGTGTAGGTTTACTCACGCCGATGGTGCGATCGCCTTCCAAACAAACGCAGCATCATCAACATGTAATATATTTATTTAGATATGAGGTTTTACAATACATCGATATTACAAACTGCAACAATAAAAGAGAGAAAAAGAAATGCATAGAACAATCAAAATGAGTAGCGGCGGAAATAAAATGAAAACAAGCGGTTTATGACTAGAGCTTAATCTGCGAGTACGTCGAAATACGAATATCAACAAGAGCAACTCTCTAATGGAAAAAAATTGCAGTAATTTCAAGCTTAAAACACTAAAATAATTGAGACGCAATTGTGAATATAATAATAATGATTAATAGCATATATGCTACCTATAGGTACCTACTTTAAAATAAATCACAAATAGTTAATTTTTATGAAATAATACATTGAATCACTAATCCTCTACTACCATAAACATGCATGTATCTTGTTTCAGTTATAGCAAAAATATGAAACAAGTAACAATAATTTCTTGAAGTCGGAAAGTGCATCCTCAGATTTAGAATATATTTTTAATTTCCGCAAGGATATATTTAAATAGGTATCGATTAATATTAAAATCTTATCTAGGTCCTTTTACAACTAACACAGTACAGATAATACAGTAAATGCAATAGCATAAATTTTAACCAACGATTAGTGAAATAGCTTTGGCGTTCTTTTTGCGTAAATGTTAATACATAATTTAGATATCAGTTAGATCGCAATGGCATTAAGATCGAAACACATGCACTAATTTAACAAAAGTGAAAAGTAGTTTAATCTGCCGTATACTAAGTGATACAAATTTCCTGGCAATATGCAACTATTCCATTTCTTTTTCAAACGATTTAACTTCCTTTAGCTCGTTTATAAAATAGAAATTTCCTATTTGCACGTTATAACATCACAATACTTAGCTTACGCGGTCTCAGTAGTGTGCTTTTTATGATGGTTCAGCAATGTTTCTCTATCAGGTAATTGTCTAACTTTCATGCTGCCATCGACGCCGCAGGAAAACAGTCTTCCATGCGAGTCTATTTGCAGTTGGGTGACACCTTGACCGATGTTTTTGAAAAATCCTCCTCTAGCATGCTCTGTTTGCAAGGTCAGTAGAACATTTGGTACGGCAACTCCCCAAATCTGAAATTAAACAAGCAATTGTTAAAATGTGTTCACTTCTGCTTCTGAATTGCAAATCTTCCTATCGATATGCACTATTTTTAGCATTGAAATCGTTGCAAACCGTTTGTTTGACCGTTATTGATATAATATTATAATGTAACTTTCCACGACTAATAGTCACAAATTGTGGCGTGTTGTCAACAAAATTTTGATAGAACCCAAAAAAACTATCTTGGTATTTTCAACAAACAGGTTCTTATCAGAACCAGCCATGACAATTTCTAGCCTAAACATCGAAGGTATCACGAACAACAAACAAGACATAATCTCCGCTACACACAAATGGGACGTGCTGTGTCTCCAAGAAAAGCACAGAGATCAAAATAATGGCTCAATATTGACGGAATGCGCCCTGTTGTCGAAACACATAAAAAGTATGGCAGCACCATTTTTATAAGAAATAACATGACCCTCACACCAACAGGAAAAAAGTGACCATATACTGAATGGGTGGAAATCAACAACCTCTCCCTCCTCCATGATCCAAAGCTACAGTACTCGTTTAGTAGCAAAATCGGGAAACGAGAGTATAACCCCGATAACTGATTTGTAAGTCAAACAATCCAAGACTCTTGCATAAAAAACGTATATGGAGCAATACCAAAAACACAAAATAGACCTATTGCCGTGCAAGTACACTCAGTTAACAAAACAGCGGAGCTACCCTTTCGTAAACGATTCAATTTTACAAAAGCAAACTAGATGCCGAAAACCTAGTTTCAACATCACAAAATTTCTTAACCTGCAGAGGGTATCAAAGCAAGAGCACCTGCAGAGGGTCTCAAAAAAATAGATGAAAACCCTGGAACGATTAGACATGTCCCACAGTAGCAAAATGGCTTGGAACCTACTGAAAAAACTTATTGGAGATCTGAAGCAAAGTAAAGCTCCCTCAAACGTGACTCCCGACCAGGTAGCCCACCTGGTAGCCCACCTGGTAATACCCACCTAAATACATTAGCCGGACGCCAACAGCCGAGAAAAAGCACCCTGATGCGCCATTTACTATCAAAGATATAAAGGACCTTAATAAACGACTAAACTCTGAAAAATTGTAATCTAGCCGGTGTGCAAATCGCGACTTGTGCCGTCTCGATGAGTCAAATTTGAAAAGTCGCATTAGGTGCCGTTTCGATGTATAAAACTTAACAACTCGCGTTTGCTGCAGTTACGATGTCTCACCTTGTCAAAACGCGTTTTGTGTTGTTACGATTTCTCAAACTTGACAAGCTTTGCTTTGTACCACAGAACACCTCTGAAGAATCTCGATGTCAAATTTTACAATTTATTTTCAAACAATTTCCTCTTCAGTTAACAACTTTTTCCTTAATTGTACGTTGTAGTATAAGTCTTTACGAGTAAAATAGACCCTCAGAGAACTCAGTCCGAGGTTGCAAAAAAAACTAATTTAGAATCTGGCAAGAGCCTAACAAATAGGCAGGAACAAAAAGTTATGAATATTTTAGCTAAAATTTATACCACTTAATGTACAAAAATCTTCAAAAAAAGTTATAGTACGATTTGTTTAAAGCAAAATTAAATTAATTATAGAAAATTTAAAAAAACGCAAAAATCGGCGGTTTTTTGAGCAAACAAATGAACGGATTTTAATTTAGTTCGTCTCATTTTGTAGGTATTTTTAATACTTAAGACAAAATACGAAATGTTTTTTAAAAGCATCAACGGTTTAAAAGTTGATTGATTCATTCGGTTTTTAGCACTTTATTTGATTGTTTAAACAGTGTTCCACAGCCGGAAATCGCGCGCAAACGATTCTGCCAATATTCTTACATCCTTCCGAACAACTTTTTTATTAATTTTTTACATTCATTTATTTAATGTCTGGAAAAAATCTAATCCGACTGGACTATTTTCGAAAAAAATGTGAGGGCAAAGTCAACAGCAAAGTGAAAATTCGATGATAAATAAATTATTTTGGACGTAATAATTGGGGTTTTCTACTAAGTACTTGGGTACTAAGATTATGGGTGCAAGAAAACGACCAAGCAATGCGACATGAGGCGTGGATTTGCTTTCAATTTTCCGGGACATAACAGCCTCTACTTAGCAGGAGATTCTAGATAATATCTACCTATTTTTTAATTGTTTGTGTTCTTTCACTTAGAAGGAAAGACAACAAACCAAATGTTACGCAAAAACCTTTTTGCGCATTCACCAATCTGTCCAATATGCCCGACGTCCACAACAACCATTTCGAGAGCGAATTTCCCTAATTACCCAAACCATACGTGAAAACACGCAATGTGTTATACAGCGATTTTCGATCTTGTTTTGGGGTTTAATTTGATAAATTCAAATGTTTTAAGTAGCTGTCCTTTAGGTATTTTCTAAATTTTTAGATGTGATTGACAACGGTTTCCTTTGCGCAATTGAATTAGTAACATTGCCGGGCAATTAAATCAAAATACAAAGAAAAACATACCTTGATGTCTCCGTCTGCTGAACCAGTCGCAAAATAATCCTCATGCGGATCAATTGCGATGCACTTAACTGCGCTCTCGTGAGCGTTGAATTTGTGTCGAATTAACTTCGATCGAACATCAATAAGACAAGCGTCGCCTTTCTTTCCAGCCGAAATGAGCACCTGCAAATTATAATGTCCCTATTAGAACCAAAAAGTTTTCTTTTTTTAGACTCAAATATTGATAAACTTGAAGTGAAAACGGAATTAATAATAGCGCTTATACTGGTAAATAGAGATGTAGCTTTTCAAGCATACCTGATGTTGAGGTGCAAAAACCAAACAGCTCGCACCTTGATCGTGACAAACAAACGGATGCACCAAAGCTTTATTATGAGGCATTATCGAGTCCCATATGCAAACATTCTTGTTCTCTGAACTGTGGCCAGCTAAAAATAAAATTTTGAAACACTTAGTTTAGGTACAAGCTGCAATAATATATAATGTAATTAATGTATTTAACATTACATCGGGTTACAAACCTGTGGCCAATAAACTGCAAGACCCCAGAAAGACGAAATCGCTAATTCCCTTGTTGTGGCAATTATGTGTCTGAAATAGGAAACGACATTAGATTAGATAACATATTAATTCGAATTATCAAATAGATGAAATCCTAGGCATCCTTTTGCCACGATTTTGCAATATTTTTTCACGTAAAATGATTAAATCAAGAAAAGCACTTACAAAGAACGGCCAAGTGGCATTAGAACTTAAACCGACTTGAAATAAGCTGAGATTTCCATCAGAATCCGCAACTCCAAATTTGTTGCCGTGTTGTGAGAATCTGAGCCTGGTTACTTTGGCGTAGGTTCCTGCAGGTCGAGGAGTAGCTACGGGTTGCTGATGACCCCATTCCCATAACTGAACCGAGCCGTCAGTACCTCCGGTTAAATCTATAAATAAATAAATACAAACCAATTCAATTACATTAATAGTTACTAAATAATGTTTAAACAATATAGCAATTGCTTTTAAATAAAAAAATACAAGCTATATCTTGGGCACTAGTAAACTTACAAAGGGGTAACAAAGGATGGGAAGTGATTCTCCGTACTCCATCCGTTTTGTGCTTCAAAACCTAAACAAAAGAAAAATATTAGCAAATAGATTAAAAATAAAATAAAATAATAAAAGAATGCTAACAATAAATACACGGCTACTTATTCCAAGAGTGTGTGAATTTTACTGTGCAATACAGATGATAATGACAATAGTTACAGTGAAGAGACAATGAGGGCCTAGTAACGAAAACACAGTTGTTTGGCAATAGATAGTGAATGCATCAAAAAATAAATATCGAACAAACTGACGTTGAACAGCTTCATGCAAATGTGAAGAATGGTTCTAGTGCAACACAGGTTTCTATTTAATGGTATTCAAACACTAATATTCTAATAGCTCAAAACGTTAAATTTCATGGTATGATATAAAATTTTTGAGAGAATATTGTATTTGTAATTGTTCCAAATAGTATGCAGCTAACTGTACTCGATTGACCCAAGCTAGGCTAACACTAATAATTTACACTTCACATACATGCCACCATCAAAAACACCTTAGATTAACATTTCATGTAAAAATAATTTTCAAAGTGTAACAAAACAAAATTCTATGTTGAAAGCGGCTAAATTTGTTTGTCGATCCGATCAAAAAACCATACCTGTACCCATCACTTTTAACTCTTGTTATATGCCTCATATTTACTAGGCACCAATTGACTTTGATATTATCAGAACTTGAAAAATCATTTAATGCCACATTTGTGTACAAGGTATATTCAATAAGTCGTTTTGTTAAATTTTCAAATAAACTTTGAAACATTCAGATGAGCAAAATGTTCCAAAGAAAAAATGCAAGTTTAAATATGAGTGCAGGTATTCGTTCGGAAGCAAGCGAGCTTCTGATAACTGTTACATTTATATGCAAAATTATCAGTTTTGGTGGTGGCTGCTGCAACAGAACTATGAAGGAAACAAACTAAAAACTCTACTTATTAAACAGCGAAAAATAATTTATCAGGTTTTGGTAACACAGACCGGTCGAAGCATGTGCGCCGACCGACGCAAGACGAGATGAACAAAATTGGCATCATGACAGCCCGGGAAGCTTAATCCCTTCATCTAGGCAAGCACGTAAACCAATTGTTCATATTAGTGAGGAAACATTGACACTTGGAATAAAGTTGCAACCTAAACTAACTACTTTAATAATAAATTTTACGTAAACTACTTTAAAGTTTCAGGAAGCCTTTACAACCCCATACACCAAATTGAACTGCCCGACAGTATGAAAGTAATTCCACACAGAACAAACACACTCGTAGCCAAGTGGCTACATGAAACACATCCTGGGCCCTAGGACACCTATTTCTCCAACAGTTCATTGTATTGAATTTAAAACCCTGAATAAATTTATTGCACATTGAACACAGATAAATTAGATGACAATATTTACAGTAATAACCACTTTACACACACGTTCGGTTCTCAAAAGCGAAACTGTGCATGAACTACAAACTGTTAAAACACACAATTTGACGAAGTCACTCAATGCATAAATAAATAAAATGTGTGCATGTACAATTTAGTTTTAGGCAACGGTGGATAACACCCAGAAGCAAATATGAAAATAAACTACTTGTGTAAAACAACCAAGAACAAATAATTGTCGCTTTTCCTCATCCATCACATTACAATTATAACAAGGAAAATTTCTGCTTCAGGGTTCCGAACAGAAACTAACTTAAATCGCCTTTCATCAATCAAAATCGTTTCCGAAGCGAAGTCATTATTTATATAAAAACTACAAATTGCAAATGAAAAAAATGTGCTTGTTCGGCAAAAAATCCGAAATTCTTGTAATAGCAGTTCGACATAATATATTCAATTAAATTGAAACTTACCACAGTAGCACCTCGACCGCTCTGACTACCTATTCCGGGCTGCGGACTGCTCGGTTGTGTATCTTTGGATTTATCCGCGGCACTTTGAATAATCAAGAACGGCGGCACGGAACTATCAGGGCACATGTTCGAAAGATTCAAAATATCAAGCTCGCATTCATCTTCCAACCAAGACGGGAATTCTAGTAGTAAGGAAATGTCCATTTCCTGTAATTCCCGAGGTGTCGCCACCACAATTAAACCGCCATTCAACTAAAAATAAATATTGCACTTAAAATCATATACTGCAAGTACATAGTTAATGAGTGACTGTATATTTTTATTATAATGTACGAGTCATTAAAGAAAGGTATGCATAATAAATCCTCAATAAAAAAGCACAACGCCCAATAAATAGACATTTGTTGATTGATTGGCTTTGTTTCCTGGAGCAAAACTATCTCATTTGTAATATAAGTAAAGACTGGAAGTACTAAGCGGATAACATATTTCCAGTTGAAAATGGACGTGATTTGATTAGAAAATTGCATTAAAAACCCACACACTAATTTCTAAGCGATCAAAAAATTATGTTAGCATATACATGTACTCATTGCGAACTTACGTGATTTAATGAAAACGCTGAAATCGAATCCTGCTCCTTGTGAATGATCCTCACTGGCTCTAAAGTTGGTTCTGGATGTGGCAAAACCTCCTCCAAAGTAGGGTTGGACCTGGGATTTACAAAATAATGGCTTTAGAACTTGCTCAATTTAATTCTGCTAAGTTTACTACCTTCGTTTGCCCCCAAATACGGCCCGAATAAATATGTCCTGAACCGATTCTTGATGCACTAAATAAGTCCAAAGCAAACGAGCAGGGCTTGCTGAACTTTTAGTAGTGAAAGGCGTGTTGTGGGGCTCCAGCAGTTGCCTGAAATATAATGTATGAATATATAGACAGCTGAAAGCTGTTTTAGTGCCTACCTGTATTTTTGAATAGGAGGACCAGTAACTGTGCTTTCCACAAAACATCCAGGAATATATTCGGGAGGAGCTTGCCTGAGCTCCAATTCGCGTTTCAAATTTTCCTGCCAGTTGTTCAAGCTCCTAAGCGAACTGTGAATCAATGGACTTGCTACTGGTAATTCGGAAGTTTCTAGTCCTGCGATCTATAATGTGGTGTTATTTTTAAGTTGCCTGTACATTAACATTACTTCATCCCTACCGCCAAAAATTCCAACATTCGATTCTGCGCGATCCTCAAAACAGCTAATTTTAACACTAGCCAAGAGTAGGAATTGGGATCTGCGTGTTCATTATTAACGGTTTTAGCGGTGGTGGTTGTTGTTACCGGGCCGTCAAACACATCCTCATCTTCATCTTCCTCCTCATTTTCACTTTCAACTTCATCCACGTAGTAGTTTGATTCCGGCTGCAAAAAATGTTTAATTGCGCTTCTTGCATAAACAGTTGCAACGTAGGAAAAGCCATGTTTTGCCTGCTCAGCAAATACTCATTCTATATTGTAATTCACCTTTTGTAAAAGAAACGCTAGAATGCTCATTTCGGGTGGCACAAACTGTTCTCGATAAGTCGGCCTGTCCTCTTTCATAACGCTAGTCTGTTGACCAAGTAATTTGGTGTTTAGTTTGAATCTTTGTTTATTCAACCAATTTGCTGCTCCACTTGATTCTTCGTTAGGAGTCTGAACACTAGTTTGGGATTGAAGTCCCGGATGATGACTTCCTTGGTTACTCGAAAGACTTGCTGTACGAAGCAACTTTTTTACACCACCTCCAAATAATCTGTAATTGTAAAAATAAAACCGTAGATTTCGATTGTTTTCTGTATTACACAGGGTGTCCCTGAAATGACTGTACAACGCTTAACAACAAATTCCTTAACCGAAAATAAGACGATCTAAGCAAACTTACAACTTACTATATCTAATGTTACTTAAACAAATTATTTCGTACATTTGACAACTGATGAAGTTGAACCGGGGTTAATCGTAAACTATTTTTTGCTTCTGTAAAAGGGCACATTCTCGTATCGCTGAGAAAGATGGCATGTTTCTACTTGATGATTATGAGAAAAAAATGGACCAATGAGGGTAAGAGTTTATAGTAACAAATATCCAAACCGCAGAATCCCCAACCATCAAGCATTCGCGAATCTTTATAATCGCAAAATTCTTAAATGAAACACGTCGTAATGGACGGATCGGAAGAGCCACCGATGCACCCATAAATTAGCCACGAAGATCACCCGATTTAACGTCGTTAGATTTTTTCTGTGGGGTCCTTTAAATCAAAAGTATGTGCTTTGCTCGTCGCTACAGAAGCCGACTTACTGGAATCAATTTTCAATGCTGCAGATTATTTGTAAACAAGCCCGACACGATGCGAATATTAATTAACGGGTTCGGGAAAGCGGTAAACATTTGTTAATATAATTAAATAAATTCAGAATTCATAAATCTTCCATGTTTTTTTTTTCGTTTCTAATAATAAATTTGGAATAAAAATATAAATTGCTGGGCATCGAAAATTATTATTTGAACTGAAACTGTAGGTCTGATAAAAAAATTACAAGCAAAAAAATTTAAAAATAAAATCAGCTAGTAGCGCGTCATTTTGAATATTTCCACGCACTAAAAAAAAGATCACGCTTTCGTCAAAACACGTCAATTTATCTAGTAATTGTTGATTTTAAAAATATTTAATACCCATGTAGGCGTTCAGAAATTATTGGGAAAAAACTATATTTATTTGAGAATTTTTGGCGGCCTGTAGTAACAAAATGAAGCAACAGTAAGTTTGTCTAAATCGTCTTACTTTCGGGTAAAGAATTTGTGGTTAAGCGTGGTACAGTCATTTCAGGGACACCCTGTATTGTGGAAGTGAATTCTCATGAATGAAAGATATATTTTAAATTAAATAATTTCCCTACCGTCCCCAAACATCCGGGTTCAATGTGTGGGCGGTGACGTGGAATAAAATAACGCAATCGCAAGTGACCAATCCGTACAATAACAAAGCCAAATAAGTGGCAATGAATGCTTCACACAACAAAACTGGCAGTCTGGGCGTATCTTCGTCCTTTTCGCGTGCCAGAAGAGATCTTAGACTAGTCACACCGGGCCACTTTGATGGTAAAGTCACTATTTGTAGACTTTCATTCACGGAGATTTTTCGTCTTCGGCCAACAAGATATGTGGAAGTAAGATCCTGCAAAAGAGACATATAGTAGGCGTTTTTATATATACTCTTATCTGAAATGTTTCATAAAAGATAAAATATCAGCAAAGAAAATCTGGAGCAAAATGTAGGGATCCCAAATAAAAATAAGTAAAAAGTAGAATAGATTACAAAGAAGTAAAACGAATTAAACATCGCTAACCTGTGCTTCTGGTATGGAGGCCTTAAAGGTGTCAGAGTCACATAAAGATTGATAAATGCAAGCTGACAGAGCAATTGCTAAGTCCCGTAAAACTAGCATCTGATTTTGATCTGCGTAAGGATTCCGCAGCTCAACCATCTAATTAAAAATATATTATCAGAACATATCTGGACATTCAGTATAAATAAACTTACTGTATGCAACATATCGTGTGTGAGACTCTGCAAATATCGAATAGGATCAGCAATAACAGTTTTGCTACTCGCCACACTGGCTGCCAGCAAAGGCAGGCTAGTGGGGAAAGGCAAAGGACTAAGTAACTGCTGATGCGTTTTTTCTTGTTGCAATTCTTGCAAAAGCAACATTAGCTCCATTCGAACTGAAGCCAGACCGCCAGTAGCGCCGTGCAAGGAACAGTAACTCAGAAGAGTTCGGAGAAGTGTTTCGTTAGCTAAATATTTATTAGTCATTAAGTCACAAGCTTGACAAAATATTTAAAGTTGTACATACCTCTTAGCCAACGCTTTCGTTTGGCCGCTCTTTGCACCTTCACCTCAAAGTCTAGTTTTTCTTGAACGAGAATCTCATGCAATGTGGGTTTCGGATTGATCTCCACCGATTGAGTGTTTTCCAAGTCGGACGAAGGCTCTAAATCCGACGAATCGATTTCGTCTGTTGTAGTGTAATTACACAGTTCTTTCAACGCGTCCACTTCTTTTTCCAACCAAAGGTACAGTTGATAACGAAGTTGGCCACCTGCAAACACCCACATTAACCATAACTTCAATAGAACTAACCAAATACTTGATAGATGGTTCATAAAAGTGCGAAAAAATACAAATAATGATTGGTATAATAGAAAATTTATTACGTTCTCAAAAACGTTTCTTTGACTGGAAACGATTCTGATCTAATAATTTATTTAAATCTTATGTGGATGATTTAGTTATTTTTGGAACTATTAACAAGCGTAGAAAACATGCAGAGCATGTCCACAATCCAAACTGTTCAATTCAAATCTTTTGGGTTCTTAAACTTTTCTCGATTAAGTTTCTGTAGTTAAAAACTAAAGAACAGGGTGAAAATCCAACAACAGGTTTAATTAAAAATATAAAAACAACATTAGGAAAGCACTGAGAAATTATTGGCAACAACTTAACTCCGCAGAAATTAAGGAAAAGCCCCAAAAGGAAAAAAACCTACGAAAAAGTCAAGCAAACATAACTTACCATCAACTTCAAAACCTGTAGCCAAAGTGGACAATTCTTCCATTAGTATTTTCAAGCAAGCGACGAACTTTAGTTGTTGAGCCATAATATCCACTTGATTTTGGGCTTCCTCCTCTCTTTCCTCTTCGACAGTTTGCTCTCTTAGAAGTGTATCTTTCTTGTCTTTGTCGTTTCCGCTGTCTAACTTCAATGCTAAACCACCTCCCGAGTCATCAGACTCACCATCACCTGAAAACAGTTAATGTCACACATATTATTTGCGATTAAGTAATCTAAATTAACCTTCGTCATCACTCCATTTTAGCTCTAAGTCGTTGGTTTCAATTTCTTTGTTCGTGGACCCGCCCCAATCAAAATCAGTTGCGCTTTGATTAATTTCTCTCTTGCTATCCCAGGAAATGATACCAGTCGCGATTTCCTGATGTAAATCTTCAATTTCAGAGGGAGTTGTCACTAAAAGCGTATTTAATTATTAGGACCAATTAAGAATGTTGTTCAAATGATTCTTACGAAGTGTAGCTTTCTGTCTGCATGGCACCACATGTGGCAATTTAGACAAAACCTCTAACGCCAAAGCTGGACATCCAGCTCTAAAGTGTCCGTGTGCAGTAGCAAAATACAGCTGTCTTTCCAAAGGAGTTATAGAATCTTCTAGAATAATCTGCTTTCCATCCTTCCACACTTTTCGCTGGCCGGAAGCAGCCAAATTTTGACGCACTAGGAGTGGATGTGTCCGTAAATATACGTAGAAGTTAAAAACGTTGGGATCCGCTTCTTTGGTTTCCCGGGCTTCATCGTCATGAGCAGGATGCTGAGTGCCTGCATTACCTATTAAAAGAGTGTTTAGAGACGGCTGATACTCTTTCAGAGTCCATAAAGCCATCGATCTCAGAAAAGGATCTGGATGAGCTTTAGAAAGGTCCTGATTTGCACCTGAAAAAAAGCAATCAGAAACAAAATCCAACTCAATCAATTAAGAATTAACCATTTTCATCGCAACCCAAAATTTCTCTGTAGAGCAATCTCTTCAGGCCTGGGCCATCCCCTTCATATAGCCTGGTGATAATGATGGCTACTTGCAAATCTTCAAGCTTATTAATGCAAATTTGGACAGCATCTTTCAGATTCCCAGCGAGCAAAAAGAAAGCAGCCGCATGCTCAAATCGCTGTTTCCCTAGCAAAGCGTACGCATTCTTTAACGCCGCCTTTCTCCATCGGTCTTCCGAAAAGTTGTTTGAGAAGAAATCAGTCATTCTTTGATCACGTTTAGCTCTAAAAAACCAAACGTTTTTAAGTCGTTAAATATACAAAGATTCTTATCTGTAAATGAATCAGAAAACAATTTTAAAGCATATCGCGTTGCTTACGCTTCATAAAAAAACACTAAATTTCAAGATAAACATGGTTACAGTGGGTCCAAAACTTATCACTCCATTGGTTTACTTCAATCAAGGAGATTTTTTCGCATTTCTTTTGGCGTAATAAATCAAACAATGCAGTTTTGACAAAAATAGTAATTTTCATAATTCAAAAAGCAGACTTTACATACTTAGTGCCCTTTCCCATTGAACGTTAGAGCTGCCATAAACTTACCTGTATAAACCCCATAATAAATTCTTCTTGTTCATAGCCAAATAATAAAGAGCGGCATCCATAGGATCCTCATTAGACTGATATGCTGCTTTTGCTAAAACTTGCACGCACTGCCTTAGAAGATTTAAATTTCTGATCCACCAGCCCACGCCTAACTCGCGAAGCTGAGTCCAAGTGGGTTCACTCTTTGCATAGCTGGGAATAAGGTTCAGTAGTTCTTCCTGACTTTCCGAATGAAAAGCCCAGGCAAGATTGTTGTTTCCCACTCCGTTCTTCTGGAATTGAGACCTCTGAGCAAGAGGTAAACACCTGAGTAGATAACTGTAGTGTTTCATCGAAAGTAGAAATCGCAAACCGCAATCGTCGAGATTGTCGGTCATCACTTCCTCATTTTGATTGATTAGATTTTCCTTTACCATTGCTGATTTAGCTGCATCGATGGCAAATCTGAAATGTAATATCCATGGTTATTAGCTCTTTAGGGAGTACGTATGGGGAAATTTACCTTTCAGCTAAATCTGTGTCACAAGTAGCTACAGTATCAGCTAATGCCAGTAAATGCATCTGGTCCAAACTGGACAAACCGGGCAAATGAATGTGGGTTAATAATCTGGACAGAATCCGACCCTGCTTTGGTGTAAAGTGTGTAAGACCGACATTTCTTTCAGATAGTCGTCTTTCTCTTCGGCAACTTTCCTCGTCATCGTCGTCGTCCAAATTCAAAGACTCTTCAATCATGCTGTTATCAAACAGTTCGTTGTAGTCCTTCTTTTCCTCCTGGATTAAAGGTAACTCTTTATCTGCCGCGAGCAGAGTCCATAAAGGTAAAGGTGGTATGTTGCTAATTTCATCATAATCCAACGTAATATCGCTAATGCTAGCTCGATGTTCCGGACTGCCTGCAGGGTAACTAACTGACAAAGTCCTAGACCTTGCCCAGCCTTGGATATCTTCAGATGGCTCTTGGTTGCCTCCAATGCACTTGACCAAATGGGCCAAAATGGCTTTCACCCAACGGATTCTGCCGGAATTCAAGAGCTCCATCAGTTGTTTCGGGTGATATTGAGGCAATACTGGACAAGCTATTCGCGAGGCTTCAAACAGACCATAATCGGGCATGTAATCAAGATTCTGGTCTTTGTTTCTTTTTCGATCGAGAATCTGAAGGTTAACAGAACTGATTCGACCCAATGTGGGAATCGCAGCTAGTTTACGTTGATTTTCCTGCGTTAAGGTCCTGGAAATAAAGAATCTTTAATAAAATGTTACATTTTATAATAACTTCAGTGGAGCAAAGGATGTTCAACATGGATTTATATTATTTTTATGTATTTGATTTTGTTGCAAATATTTCTACGTTGCCGAGTTTCACACAGCTTTATTTGAGAAATTGGTTAAAGTTCAATTAACGTGCCCGCACGTCAGGTTTTTTATGTCCTCCCCGTCATTCACCTCGATCCACACTAGCAGAAAATAACAAGAACATCTTACCTGAAATCCATTTCCCTGTTATTGTCAGTTTCTGTGACGCCGTTTTGTTTTTGGCTAAGTTGCTGCGGCTTCCATTGCGTGTAAACGTGCATTTCCGAATCCATACCAACGACTAAAATGCCGTCTCTAACCCAGCTGATCTGCATGGGAAGCGCTGGTAAGCCATCAGCAGTATGTAATTCAATCTTTCTTAAAGTCATCCATTTAAAATCATCTACAAACAGCAAAAATAATTACTTCAAAAAATTCGATAAATTGTAAAAGAGCACTCACCCACAAACATAGGCTGTGCCAAAGAACTGGCTTTGCGGAGAATGGGCCTGAAGCTGTTCATTGATTCTTTCATAGCCTTAACGTTGGCTTGAGCTAAATCTGTAGACAATGGTGTGTATAGCAATATTTTGCTTCCACATGCGACTGTTAAAATATGCGAACCATCTTCATTGGACACCCAATCTAGTTGGACGATGTGCTTCTGTGTTATTGGGCAAATATTGCCCATTTCTGAGATGGATTTTCTGAGTGATTGCAGTGTAGTAAAACTGGGCACCGCTAGGAGGGTTGGTTTAATCGACTCAGTCGAGAGCATATTATTTTGCCTGTCGTCTGATAAAGTGTGAAACACTTCGTTGATTCGCTGCTTCTTTTTAAGCGTTCTAGAATCGTACAAGTAGCTCAAATCCAGATGTCTGTTTATATCAATTCTGGGCAAGTGTATGTTTTTCAGGTGAATTACATCTTCCAAAATCCATTCGGTTCCTCCTGTAGACTCACATTCGTAAATGGCAACACACAAATTGATATACCTAGAATCCTGATCGCTTTTGTTGGGTCTTGTGAAACTTTTGCCGTACTTGTAAGCGCAAGCTAATCGTCCAGAGTACGCAACACTGATATTCAGTACCTGCCCTTCGATTTCAATAGCAGATTCCTTAATCATGTTCCATTCCGCCCAAACTTTGTTAGAATTTACCAAAACGCCGTCTTCTTCCAACATGAGATTAGACATTTCACTCACTTGATGAATGAGTGTAGAAACCGCCCAAAATCGAATCACACCGTCACTGCAAGCCGTAGCAAAACAGTACGGGGCCAAACAAGCGGGATAAATCGACGCTGAGCTTAAATGGCCAGCGGCAGCAGTCGCATGTACGATTTCCACGGCATCTGGTAAAGGCAAAATTTGCTTAATCTCCCTTTTAACAGTGAGCGTAATATGAGGAGTGACTTTAGATTGCTTCAGATGTAGCGATTCAACACTGTTTCTTCTCGACAAGTCATTTTCATCTTGAATCAAAACGCAATCGGGCACATACATCTGGCTGGCTGTCATTGATAGATCTGCATCGGTAGAAGCGATTGTTAATTTCCATGTGTGGATGATAGTATGCTGATCAGTGCAGTCTAGGAGGACAATGAAGAAAGGTTCTTCAAAAACTGACGACTGTTGCAGGTCAACCATTGCGTCCTGGTTTGCGGCTTTAGCGGAACTTCTTTGTCCTGAAATAAATACATATGATTAAATGCAACAAGCAGTGAAAGTAAGAAGCGAAAGCAAGTAAAACATACATAATGTAACATACAGGGTTACACATTCGAGGTAGTAGGATTGGAAGCTCGTAAACCGTAAGGAATACGAAGTCGGATAAAAATGAAGAGTTCTTGTGACCGAAAATTCTAAGTGAAAAGAATTTTTTCGCGGCTTCAGCCGACAAAAAATTTTTGGAATAAGAACAGCGGGACTTGAACCTGCGACCTTCATGAATCCGCCATGATGCTCTACCAACTAAGTTACGAAGCAGACAAGATTTACACCAGCCATCGAACAGTAAATCATTAAAGCCGCGAGAAGAAGTCGGTTAAATTAGAAAAAGAGTTGCTCATTTTGATGCTTAACAAAATGGAGTTTTAAAACTGGTAAAATTCCCACTATTTCCAGAAATATTCGAAGAAATCCGATTTGTTCAGCTAACAAATTATTTTTTGAGCTAATCAGAAAAAAATAATTTGTAATGTAATAAAAGAACCAACTTCTTTATTTTTTAATTCGGACCTGTATGATTGACATCGGTTTATGAATTGCGAACCGAATTTTATGTGTTAATAGAGGCCATAGAAGTCGCGTCGAAACCTTCGTACCGATAAGGCGTGTATACAGTGAACCGAAAGCAAAACGATTTTTTCTGTTAATGTGAATGTTAGTCTGTAAAAGAATTTCGAGAATTCGTCAACATTTCGTCGTCGATTTAACTTAAACTACAGGGTTACAGCAAAATAAGGATGAATCCTGGGAGTTCGCAGGAGTCCGAATCGGACTATGCCTCCCAGGACGGCACTTTCATTAAACCGACCTCGAAAAAGCGCGGTCGAAAACCAAAATCCAAGCCGTCTCAACCAACCCCTACAACACCAACTCAAGAAACCAAGAGAATAGCACTAGAGGAGCGTACACCTACCACATCAACAACAAAACCACCAACACCAAAACTTCTACACAATCACCACCGTCCAACTTTTACGCACACATTTGTGGCGCATTCAACACCTACAACAACGCGGATTCAACTTGCAGTCCGTTGGGAAGAGCTCAACCATAATAACAAAGACATCATAATCAAACAAGACAACAACTTTTTAATCAAAACCAACCATGACAACAAAGCCACAGAGACACTTCAATGCCTAAAACAAGACAACCTAATAACAGCATTTAACCTGCAAAAAACCGACTATCAAACGACAGCACAACCAAATCGAGCAAACCACCACATCACAGCCTCCTACTCAGTAGTTGCTACTGGGGTAGACCTCGATATTACCGACGACATGTTTTTTAATCACTTAACAAACTTGGTCTACAGATCAGATTTTGCAAAAGGATTATTTCTCGGCAGAAGATAGTCCAACACTATTGATGAGACTAATAACAGGAGATCTCACTAGCTACGAGAAATTGATGAACGACCGCTCAGTGCACTTCCTTGGACGTGTATTTAGAATCATCGAAAGCAAGCCTCCAGCACCCATTCCTGCTCCATGCAGTAAATGCAATTCTTTCG